TTAATATAATATAAAATGCAAAATACTATTCTCCTTCTATAATAATAATCATAAAAAACATTAATAAATTATTAATTTAAATAAAAGAAATTTGATTTTTTTTTTTTGAGTTTATATTTTATAAATGAATAAATAAATATTGAAATGACTTTTTTTTTTATAAGATCCAATATGATTAGATTTTATATCAATTAAAATTTAATGTGATTATCAGATATTAAGAGAATAATAAAAAAATAATTATTATAAAAATCGCAGTCCTTAACAGGTCAAAAAATTCTCCCCCGACCCGAAGACCCAACCAAAACCCCTTGACCTTTTTGTCCGATCTAATCGTAGTCGTAGAAGTTTTGATTGATGATTGAAGCCTAAAATGAAAATGGCTCTGATTAACGCTTTCCTGTTTGTATTTGAATGAATTGCACTAGGGAAAGGAATTAGCCCAAAATGAATCTTCTCGTGAGATTCATGAACAAGGATTAACACAAAAAGGTTGATTTAATTTGAAAATCTTAAGCTTAAATTTCTCAATTTTTTCTTTTTTATTCTCTGATATTTCGGGGAAAAGAAAGAACTTAAAATCTAACATCTAGAAATAAGGTCACATGGAATGGATTCTCATTTATTCATCTTGGGCTAGTGATTGAGACCAATGATAACTTTTCGAGAACGAGGCTCAATTGATACCCAATGAATCTGGCCCTAAATGTACTTTGAAAATTTTTTTTCGAGAACAAGGCCCAATTGATCCTGAATTAATACAATTCCTTCTGAAACTCGTGGGGTCTTTCAGGTTACCAGAAGTTGCTATCCAAAAATCTAAATTTATAATTCCAAGGTTGGATGCATTTTATAGATAAGGTTCAGATTTAAAGTTTTGTAATTTTAATAATATCAATTAATTTTTTAAAATATATTAAGTTAATGTAAGTAGTACATTTTTAAAATTACTTTTAAAATATATAAAAGTTAGTCACATTAAATAAAAAAAAAAATGCATATCAATTCCAACTTTTAAAAAATTAAAGTTTTAACTTTAAATTACATTATTTTATTTAATTAAAA